TCATAAGTACCAGACGGTCAAAAACATCCGTTGCTGCTGCCTAGTCCAAATTTGTATAGAACCGCCGCTTTCGTCAGACCCAAATGACTATAGCACTCTCACTATAGATCGCACTAGTGCGATCACTACCTGAGAGGTCTCTCGAGAATATCAATATGTCAAATATGGACCGCTACGATGCGATTACGGACGTCAAGCAACGTTTTTGGAAGAAATGGTCTGTTGACTATGTCAACGAATTGCGATCGCGCACGAAGTGGACAGCACCCTCAACGAACCTCACCGAGGGCACGGATGGATGACCACATCATCCATGAGGACAAACTGCCACCGCTACGATGGAAACTAGGCCAAGTGCAGTCTACGGTGCTAGGCCTAGGCCTAGGCGCTCTCGGTGACAGCTGTTGGCGCCATGTATGATCCCAGTAGACCGACAGGGTCCCGTAAGTACTCTCGGCGATACTTGTCAGTATCTCCGCATAGCAAAGACCTTCGTAGTAATTCTGAGCCTGATAAGATCCTGAAAGCGCTATCCGGCGATTGCCTAAGCGTTCTTGGTGAAACCGGCTGACACGCCCCGTACGGTTCTCCTTCACCACGATCGCTCCCGTCTGCGAGACTGCCTTCGTCAGTCCGAAATTCTGAGCCCCGTCAAATTATAAATATTGCTGTAATTTCGACCCTGGAGTAGATTGAGATATGTACCCCAGCCAAGATCGCTACCTTACACAGTAAAGTCTCTCTTATGCTCAGTGATTAAGCACTATAATTTGTAATAAATTGTTATTGCCTAACGCTTAAACGCATACATCAAATTTTATTCGTTTACTAAAAACTAACACGCCCTCATCCGTGAATAAACATTAATGCGGAAAACGCTCCGTGTTTAAACAAATGGTTTTTCGAAACCACTTTATGCGGCAAGGAGCCATGCAACTGTCAGCACCATCAGATCGGGTACACCAAAGGATATCGGCAGAGTTGGATGGTAAGGATCTTCAGGAAACATGAGGCCAAAAAGACTGTCCCTAATGTTTTTAACACCATTAATTTAAACAAGGAAAAATTGATAAGCCCATGAATAAAATCATTGTGGCAATTGAGAAGCAGCCGGTTAGCGTCGTCGCAAGGCACCCAAGAAACAAATGGTAGATTGGTCCCCCATAACAATAGTTTGACCATTGCAACGTAATGCGGATACGATAGTATTAATTTCTGAGAGGTGGTTAAAGTAAACCTCAGCATCAGACCTGGGAGGAATGTAGGAGCAGGTTAAATAGAAAAATACCGAACCAACACGAATTTTGACTGCAACAAATTCAATTCTATGGATGTTATTGAATGGGAATAACTCAGATGAGAAATCAGATTTTACTGCAACCAGAACCCCACCAGCGAAAGATGGGCGGTCCATTCTATAAATAGTGTAATTGTCAATAAAAATTTGATGATTATTGACAAAAGAGTTAAGCCAGGTTTCGGTAAAAGCTATGGGGTCGAAATCAAAAGACGCACTATTTGTATGAATTTGACGCAATTTGCCCAACAAACTGCGAACGTTCTGATAGTGAATACAAAAATGGTTAATTAGTTTTTTGGAGCAGAAGGTTTGGTAATTCTGGGACTCGATTTCGAATCTTTATGAAGAAACTTATGCATAATTGTATAGTCAGTCCATTTTGACGGGTCAAGAGATTTAGATAGTAAAGAATCAGGGAGAAGATTTTTAAAAGATGGTACACTCCCCGACACTTGAATACGACATACTAAAATGTACACTTTAGGCACCATTATTTTCGGGCACAAGCCAAAGAAAACGGTGAATTTGAATTTTCCTCAAATCTCTATTCAATTTAGCATAAATTAAAAAAAATAATAGCAATATTCATCAAAGTAGATTGAGGAAAAAAATTTAATTGACATAACTCAAATTTCCGCTCCCAAAAAATGCGACACTTGAATACGACATTCACATTGAAAAATTTTTTATTTTGGATGTGGTCGCGACCGGACATTGAATAAATTCTCAAAAATCAATTAGGGTGTCATTATTACGAGAAAAAAATTTGGGTTATGGTAAGTCCTTTTCAAAGGACGAAAACTCCACTATAAAAGCCTCGAAGGAAGTAGGTCCATCAATAATGAAAATAAGTGATGAAATTGGTTAAACTAGGTGTGTTCTGAGTGATTTCATAAAGAACGGGTCAAATTATGGCAAAAACATTAAAAACCGAACCAAAATTGCTACTTCCGAGACCTCTATGAGATCTCATCTGCGAGCCGCAACTAAAAATCACGACTAAAACTCGATTTAAAAATCTAAAACTGTACTTTAAGCTAGTGCTAAAATAATAAAACATGTTTTTTTTCACCGTTTTCTTTGGCTTGTGCCCGAAAATATTGGTGCCTAAAGTGTACAATTTAGTATGTCGTATTCAAGTGTCGGGGAGTGTATGTTGCGATTATGTTTCAATGTAAATTAAAATGTAAATTGCGATTCTAGAGCTAAAAATTTCTCGTTGAGAGCCACGAATTTTTTCCGGACATCCTGAAACCCAGTTCGAGTCTGTCTCATGAAAGAGCGCATTTCGGCCCCGACAATCTCCCGACAAGCCAGACATGACCAAGACAGGCCCATTCGTTTCGAGATCAGACTGTTTAGACGGCCAAAATTTCCACCACCAGCATATTTTATCTTTTAAATATGCAGAAAAAATAAAATTAAATTTTGTTTTCTACTGAAGCTGAAGTAAAAAAACTTTCAAAATTTAACACTGTAGTAAGAAGTATGATATTTTCTGGGATAAGCTTACATATACCGTTTTCTTGTACGATCGCGTCTAAAATCGATTAACGTACAAAAAGAAGTACATCTTATAAAAAAGGAGGGGGAACGTTGTGAGTTCTCTACTCTACAACTCTACATTTATACCCGATAATTAGTCAGTATACTCCGGCAGACGCCGCTAATATTAAACGACACGACAAAGAGTGCGTGCGAGAGAGACAGCAAATCAGTCTGAGCGTGAAGTCGGGCGCTGCATAGCCACTGCAAATTGATTTGTTCCTTTTGGCTATAAAAATTATCTGATCTGATCCAGATTCAGCAATCTGATAGATATGGTCGTTATCTATGATTCTGCCTTTTTAGTTTTCTCGAATCTGCAATATTGTGGATGCAACAGATTTTCGTCCTCTGTGTGGGCGGAAGGGGGTGGGGCGAAATTTTGAGATATACGTTTTATAGTGAGATCTAACAGGAGTGCGGATACTAAATTTGGTTACTCTAGCGTTAATAGTCTCTGAGATTTGTGGGTGCCCCAGATTTTCGTCATTTGCGGGGGCGGAAGGGGGTGTGGCGAAATTTTGACACAAAACGGTCAAGGTCCGATATCACAGGAGTGTGGATACCAAATTTTGTTGCTCTAGCTCTTATGGGTTCTGAGATCCTTGAACTCATATTTTGCAATTGGCAAAACCGACCATGAAACCTGTGTGTTAAAGAGAGACAGAGCGAGATAGAATGAAATTGTTTTCTTGATTCTGGCTATAATAATTATACGATCTGGTTCAGATTTTGCACTCTAAAAGATATAGTCATCTTCTACGATTTTGCGTTTTTAGTTTTCTCGTATCGTCGAAATTGTAATGCCACAGATTTTCGCCCTTTGTGGGGGCGGAAGTGGGCGGGGCAAAGTTTTGAAATATTCTTGTAGCAGTGACATATCACAGAAGTCTGGATCCAAAACATCGTTGCTCTAGCTCGTATAGTCTTTGAGCACTAGGCGCTAATAGGGACGGACAGACGGACGGACGGACAGACAGACATGGCTCAATCGACTCGGCTATTGATGCTGATCAAGAATATATATACTTTATGGGGTCGGAAACGATTCCTTCTGGACGTTACACACATCCACTTTTACCACAAATCTAATATACCCCAATACTCATTTTGAGTATCGGGTATAAAAATAAATAAATAAAAATTAGTTAACACAGAAATAATTGGGGAAGATCGTCATGTCAGCATAAGATTGAAACATCCTTAAGCATTAGTATGACGTCCATAAGATTTTTCATGATCACATCGTAGTAAAAAAAAGGTGTGTTCGCCTTGGATCACACACAATTTAAAAATCGGTCGAAAAGAGGCTCGTGTCGATTGGTTTAAGAAAATAGTCAAAAAATGCGATCGTGGTTCTTCAAAAACTGCGTTTTATATCTACACAGGTGCAATATCAAGGATATAAGAATTTAAGTCTGAAACAAAGAGCCAAATGCAAATAAACTGTTTGCCTCTTTGTTCGAAAACTGTTAAACAACTACTGCTGCTACTTTTTCGATAGAGAAAAGTACGAAGACCGATTCTGAGTGGTCAGTAACAATTTTTTTGTCCGGAAGGTTTTTGATAATATCAAGAAAAACCAACATAAAAGAGTGGTCTTTACTATCACAGTCCAAGCTCTTCCACATCAAACCACTCATATAGATAGATTTTTTAACCACCCAATGTATCGAATCAAAAGGACATCTGCTTCAAAAACATTTTATCACAATTAACAAAAACTTTTTTAAGCAAAAAAAAAAAAATTGAATTGTCAACGTATTTTGACGCCGACAGAAGCTGATGAAGTCTTGTTTTAGAGATACATCTTTCTGATGGTGAAAGTTGTGCGATAAGAGTTTTAAACATTTGAAAATGGTGAATATGAATTCTTTGCGAATATTTTTAAAACCAATAAAACCATTTTCAACAACTAAAGTTTGTTTTGTCATAATTAGGCCAGAATCTTAAACAGCAGCCTACTTAACATATTCCAGGCGGAATTTTTCGTCATGACAAGAGCAGCATCATTGGAATTTGCCTATATCAAGGGATATAAGAAGATAGTTCACTTCGCAAAAAAACACTTAGGGCCATACGACCGTATACGTCTACATGATCCTTAGATGACCGTCATATCATGTCACTATTTTATTTTTAGAGCATAACTTACCAATTTCTCTTATAGATGATAATTGCTGCCAGCAGGTAATTAAACTGCATGATCCAGAGACTCCATGACACTTGCAAGTTATTCGAGTTTTTTTAATGACGGCCTTAAAAAAAATACAAAAATCTAAAATTAGATGATTATCATAGTATATGGTACATATAAAAAGGAGACTGAGGCAAAGGAATTTTCTACCATTGCAGGACGGTCGACATCCCGAAATACGCACATTATTAATGCAATAGATCTTTTCACGATCACACTAGTTACTCGTAAAAATACCCCATAATTTCAAAATCAGGCAGGCTCCATTTTTCACTTACTTTTGCGGATTACGCTTTCAGTCAAAACGTTTCATTTTCGTTTCAAGGTGTTGTTTTTGTTGCCCTGGCCAATTTTTGCCGAGAAATTTGAGTTTGGGTTAAAATAAAATTATTAAAGTTTAATTACCCTGATATAAGTGTCAAGATTATGTTAATGCATCATAATAAGTCATCTATTTTTTTCCTTTTGTAATTAAGGTTCGTTTCGTTTACTTTTCATTTCGTCAATGAAAATTTTTTCGTTTTGAAAACGAATAAATCTTGCGGAATGTGAAAACGGGAGCCCTAATTGATGTGTATTCAAAAGTAAATCTTAAAACTTTTGTGAACACGGAGCCTGGCTGAATAAATTGAATTTGTGTATTTTAAATTTTACCGGTATATCGGTAATCTTGTGTGGCATATTAAATTCGAATAAATGTAAAATATAATAAATTGGAGTAAACATCATTAAAAGTCTATTTTCTGCACTTCCTCCCACAATATGATTTCCGACTAAGTGTCGACCACCCAATTCCACCCAGTTTCGTTTCAGATAACAAAATAAACGAACGGGAAAGTATTGAGTCGCAGCAAGTACTGCAACATGACACCCAATCTTTTGATAAAATCCACCCCAGTTACTTCTGCAGTAATTTCGTTTTTCTAAAAGTATGAATGTGATGCGTTTACATGGCTGGTGGGCTGCTTGGGGCAGCCCACCTTCACTAATAGTTTGTCAACGAATTTATCTTGAATAATTATACCCGATACTCAAAATGAGTATTGGGGTATATTAGATTTGTGGTAAAAGTGGATGTGTTTAACGTCCAGAAGGAATCGTTTCCGACCCCATAAAGTATATATATTCTTGATCAGCATCAATAGCCGAGTCGATTGAGCCATGTCTGTCTGTCCGTCTGTCCGTCCGTCCGTCTGTCCGTCTGTCCGTCCCCTTCAGCGCCTAATGCTCAAAGACTATAAGAGCTAGAGCAACGATGTTTTGGATCCAGACTTCTGTGATATGTCACTGCTACAAAAATATTTCAAAACTTTGCCCCGCCCACTTCCGCCCCCACAAAGGGCGAAAATCTGTGGCATCCACAATTTTAAAGATACGAGAAAACAAAAAACGCAGAATCGTAGAGAATGACCATATCTTTTAGACTGCAGAATCTGAATTGGATCGTATTACTATTATAGCCAGCATCAAGAAAACAATTTCATTTTTTCTCGCCCTGTCTCTCTCTAACACACAGGTAGCATAGGCGGCTTTGCTTAGAGTAAAACATTAGCGCCTAGATCTCAGAGACTATAAAAGCTAGAGCAACCAAATTTGGTATCCACACTCCTAATATATCAGACCGAGACGAGTTTGTTTCAAAATTTCGCCACACCCCCTTCCGCCCCCGCAAAGGATGCAAATCTGGGGATATTCACAAATCTCAAAGACTATTAACGCTAGAGTAACCAAATTTGGAATCCGCACTTCTCTTAGATCTCACTATAAAACGTGTATCTCAAAATTTCGCCCCACCCCCTTCCGCCCACACAAAGGACGAAAATCTGTTGCATCCACAATATTGCAGATTCGAGAAAACTAAAAACGCAGAATCATAGATAACGACCATATCTATCAGATTGCTGAATCTGGATCAGATCAGATAATTTTTGTAGCCAAAAGGAACAAATCAATTTGCAGTGGCTACGCAGCACGTGACATCACGCTCAGACTGATTTTCTGTCTCTCTCGCACGCACTCTTTGTCGTGTCGTTTAATATTAGCGGCGTCTGCCGGAGGAAAGCCATACTGACTTAGTATCGGGTATAACTGTAGAGTTGCGGTGTCCGCAGCAACTCACAACGTTCCCCCTCGTTTTTTTTCCATTGTTTTGTTTTTCCTTGGCTGGCGTGCCGTTGTCCAAAAATTCTCCGCTTCGTGTAATGGTATATGTAAGTTTAAGAATAAACTCCATACATCTTATTTTTGCATGAAATGGGGAAATTCTATTCTATTCTAAGGTTTCCTCTTTAATTATAGAATCATCAAAATTTTTTAAGTACTTTTGTATTTTTTTATAAAATGCGCATTGTGAGGTCGATGTAGTAAAAGTGAGATCGTTAAAAAATTATCCATCAATTAAAATAGGAAAAATTCAAAATCGACACGTATGGTTTTTCCTTCCGTGATTTTATGTTGTACCTGACCCATATTTTCAATCTGATTCTTAATATCGATTACAGTTGACTTTATTTAATCCGAAGATTCTATGGCGTATTTAAATAATATAGGGCGGCAGTAGAGAGCAGACGAAGGTTGCGGAATTTTCCAATATTTCGATGTATCCAAAAACATTTTAGAATCAGCCTCATTGCTGATTAATGTGCGATTTTCGGCAGACTCTCAATCTGATGTCGAGGTAAACTTTTAATGAGCCGTTTCAAAGGGTGTTCCACCAGGTCTAGACGTTTTATTTCTACTAACGCTAGACGTTTTTTTTGTTTCTGGCCATCCCATCAGTTTTGCATGTGCAATTTGACTGTATTCAGGCAGAACATAGACTTTATGTTGCTCTACGGAATACCGCAATATTGAATATTTATCCATAGAAATAACCAGCTTTCGTTTTTTGCTAAGCAACTCTGTCGCTCTGGAACCAGTCTCTGCCTAGAGTTTGAGCCACACGCACACAAACTCCATCCATATTTAAAAATCAACATTAGAACTAATAAAGAACAATGACTTATGCGTACTTAAAACTGTGTAATTCTAGTATATATGTATGTTCCGTGACGTTTCAGGGAATCGTCGAATATTTTTGAATTGTTGATCTTTAATCGTGGTTATGAAAAGATATGGTCATTCTCTACGATTCTGCGTTTTTGGTTTTCTCGTATCTTTAAAATTGTGTATGCGACAGATTTTCGCCCTTTGTGGGGGCGGAAGTGGGCGGGGCAAAGTTTTGAAATATTCTCGTAACAGTGACATATCACAGAAGTCCGGATTTAAAATGTCGTTGCTCTAGCTCTTATAGTCTTTGAGCACTTGGCACTGATAGCTATTGATGCTGATCAAGAATATATATACTTTATGGGGTCGGAATCTGGACGTTACACACGTCCATTTTAACCAAAAATCTAATATACCCCAATACTCATTTTGAGTATCGGGTATAACAAACTTATTCTTATACATTGAAAAATAAGAAGAGTTTTTTTAATACGAAATAACCGAAAACTTTGGGTGGCTGTATTTTGATATATATTTTGGAGGTCGAAAATATTAGGTGCAAAATCTTAATTGGATCGTATCATTATTATAGTCAGAACCAAGAAAACACTTCATTCTTTCTCGCTCTCTATAACACACAGGTTTTATAGTCGGTTTTGCCAATTGCAAAATATGAGTTCAAGGATCTCAGAGACTATAAAAGCTAGAGCAGCCAAATTCGGTATCCACACTCCTGTGATATCGGACCTTGAATGTTTTTTGTCAAAATTTCGCCCCCCCCTTCAGGCCCAACAAAGGCAGAAAATCTTTTGCATCCACAATATTAAAGATTCGAGAAAACTAAAAACGCACAATCATAGAGAATGACCATATCTATCAAGTTGCTGCATCTGAATCAGATCGGATCATTTTTATAGCCAAAAGGAACAAATCAATTTGCAGTGGCTACGCAGGGACCGATGACACGCTCAGACTGATTTGCTGTCTCTTTCGCAGGCACTCTTTGTCATGTCGTTCAATATTAGCGGCGTCTGCCGGAGAAGAGCCATACTGACTAAGTATCGGGTATAAATGTAGAGATGCGGTTTCCGCAGCAACTCACAATGTTCCTCTCGTTTGATTCTTGTGTCCCGTTTTCTTGTCCGATTAGATCTGGAAAACCCAATTGGTTTACCAAAGAGTTATCCAGTCTAAAAAACTTAAAATCAAGACTTTATACAAAATTTCAAGAAGTGCGTTCTCCTATTTCTCACTGTCGCTATGTAGTAGCTCGGTCAAACTTTTCAGTTCTTAATGCTCAATGCTATAAGAACTACCTATCTCGATGCAGGATACGTTTTTCTCAGGACCCTAAACAGTTTTACTGCTTCGTAAACAGTAAGCGTAGAACGTCCGCACACCCACCCTCGCTATCATTTTGTAATACGTCGGAAAATAATGATCAGGCGATTACCGATCTTTTTGCCCAATTTTTCCAAACCACCTATTCTGAGGAAAGCTACTCTGGTCATCCATACCCATACGGTTTACCCAGGTTGAACGGCATTTTCAGTCCCTTGTTAAATGAATGTTCTTTACTTCATGATCTTCGACTAGTTAAGCCGGTGTTTTCACCGGGTCCAGACGGGGTTCCAGGTTGTGTACTCAGGTACTGCGCCGAGGCTCTATGTGGACCTTTACTGAAACTATTCACCCTGTCCATTGATTCTTCTTGCTTCCCCCCGATCTGGAAGGAATCGTTTGTTATTCCTCTCCATAAAAAAGGTAGCAAGTCTGATGCAAAAAATTATAGAGGTATAGCAAAGTTATCCGCTATTCCTAAAATGTTTGAGAAGGTTTTAACTCCGCACTTGCAACATCTCTGCAAGTCACTTATATCTCCAGCTCAGCATGAATTTATAAGGCGGCGATCAACCACCACGAACTTGTTAGAGTTTACCTCTTTCATTATTAAAGGCTTTCAAGGTTACTTACAGACGGATGTTATTTACACCGACATTAGTAAAGCATTCGACTCTGTAAACCATTCCCTTCTAACACATAAACTTGACCTTTTAAGGTTTCCGCCCAATC